TCAGAACAGCCCGAGGTGGTGGTAGGGATGCTGATAAAAGCAGACACGGCTATCACTCTCGAGGAGGCTCCATCTATTGGTGGGGAGAACACCTGCTGGAAACCGGGTCCAGCGTCCCAGAACAACATTTTTCCGTGTTTATACAGATATTTGAATGCAATACCGATCGCCGGTTGGACCGCCCGCGACGGAGGCAGTTTGTGAGTGAGGCTACACCCATACTCAGAATGCAAAGTTATTGCCAAAGTTATCTAATGAGGTCCTCCTAAGCACCCACGTTTAGACATCTGGCGATGCCCACGCTTGGATGTTTGAACACCTTCGTTTAGACACCTGTGCTTAGGAACACCGCCACGAAACTTGGGCCTCGCGCGCCACACCTCTGCTCAGAGTGCACGGCGTGGCACATCCTTTTCCGAGCTTTTGTTGTCGTAAACACCTCTGTTTCCAAGAGCTAAAGAAGGTCAGCGACCACTTCAGGCTGATGTCCAAGGGCCTCCGCATTCTGCCGTGGTCCCCCGAACAGAACGCACCCGAGGTTCGGCTGCAGAGGACCGGAAAGATAGCTTGTATGCATCCCTTGTCGGGGTGCCTTCTCTTGGAGGAAGACGGAGTTGAGTCGAAACGAAATAGCGAGCGAGTTTACAGTAAGTAGCTATAAATACATATGGTTACCTCAATACTGTCGCTATAAAGGGACCCATTACCCGTTCCAGAAGGCTGGCATCTGTTGCTAGACTGATGATGGACGAGGCTGATTGATTGATCGATTGATTGCACCTGAGATCTCCGTGCGTTAGTCCTGAAGACGGGAGGACCCTCCGCTGTGGAAGGCAACTCGGAAGACGCTCGACGACGAGGGAGGTGAAGGTGGTCGTGACGTCGGTGAGGAGAGCACCACTCCAGCAATCTGTCCGTCCGACTGCGGCAATGGCGATGCTGCTGCTGCTCCTGCCGCTGGTCCTCCAGCTGGCCGCCCAGGGAGCCGCCACCACTTGTCCGCCGCCCGGAACGGTGAAGATTGCTGCGCTCAGCTATGCAGGCAGCGGCTGTCCTCCCGGGACTGCTGTCGGCGACATCTCCAACGACGGGAAGGCGCTGACGGTCATGTACAGCAAGTACATCGCTACCACGGACAAATTGCTGGCGGATCGCAAACGGACCTGCATCGTAACGGTCAGTCTGAGCTATCCCAGAGGATTCATCGTCTCGGTGGGAACGGTCACAATGCGCGGGTACGTGAAGCTCGATGCGGGCGCCGTGGCGACCATTCAGACATGGTACTACTTCTCCGGGTTTCCAGGGACGGCTCGCTTCGTGCGCAAGTTCACAGGAGCGCTCGAGAAGAACTTCGAAGTCACGGACCAGTTCCTCACCCTGGTTTACAGCACGTGCGGCGCGGACAGGAACCTCATTCTCGCCTCGGAAGCCCGGGTGGCCCCCGGCCCCGGGTATCCGGCCAAGGGTAACGGAATTGTTGGAATTGACTCTCAGGATTTCTCCTTCCGCCAAGTCTGGAATCTCGTCTGGGGGACATGCTAAGCCATGGCGGACATGAGCTAGTCTGGGAGGCGGCAAAGTAGGAGGGGAGGGAAGGGGCGGTTGGGGGGCGACAGGTAGTGGGAAAGGTGAGTCTAGGGTCCGAGAGACTGGTCGGAGGCAGTTGGAGAGGCCGTCCGATTAGGAGTGAGTGGGGGCGCGTCGCGAGCTTCTTAGTGTCGCGAGTGTCTCGAAGTAGTCCACTGGCAGAGCCCTCCTATGATGCCGGCAATTTGGACCGGAGAGTGGGACACGTAGCTCCGTACGAGGCGTAAGGTCATACACGTGATTCGGTCTTGATTCTGTTCAGGACGGGGAGTTGTGTGGGTCTTGTAGGCAGAAGGCGCATCACACAGAAGTTATGACAGACGTGATTTGCGGCTCAGATAAACCGGTTGTATTAAAGTCAGTCTGTCTGTAGAAGCTTAACGATGATCCTTGCCAAAGAAAGATCGAACAAGTGGCGCCATTTCTCTCTCTCTCTCTCTCTCTCTCTCTCTCTCTCTCTCTCTCTCTCTCTCTCTTTCTTTCTCTCTCTCTCTCTCTCTCT